TTAAGTAAATGACCATACAAACATGAATTAATCCGGAGTTTAAGAATGATGCGGTTTATGGTTAGTCTCGGGATACAGAAACTTTCTGCCTGAGTGCGTCCTTATACGTATTGTTGCGTGACGTCAACGGTTACGTGAGCTTAAATGGCATATGGATAGGGTGTTTTGGTGTATAGATAACTGATGTTGTGTAGGCAAATCCGTGGGTGATCGGCATAAAACCAGGGGTCTAATAATCGAATCCTGTCCGATCGATAAAAGCAATTGGAGCCGTCGTTGATGGACAAGTAATCTATAATCGATCTTCCTCTTCATGACTTGAAGTAAGTTGTTGGTTCAAAATTCATGGCAGACTGGCGAAAGAAGTTTGAGTTATAGATGAATCTCTCTCAAGCACTTTTGGCTCTAAACAATTCTTGGGTGCTTCTCTGTATCTTTCTTCTCGTGTTTAGTGTTGTGTTGCTTAGTTTTTAAATCGTTAGCCAAATATCGTTTGCATCTTATGATTCATTTGAGACTGAATTAATCATCTGATCGCTGTATCTTTGAACTGCAGCGGTTAAGGACCCAGTTTACTAACAGTTCCATATGTGACGCAATGAAAAAATAGATTCAACAAACTTTGTGTCTTCTGATTTCCGATGTCTGTTTATTGGGTCGTCAGGGGATAGAGATCTATATATACTGTATGGTTCTGAATTGTCCCTTACTACTCTGTCTTTGCCCATGACAGAACGCACCACACCAGGATATTTCTAAACTCTTGATTCTGGGATACTTCAAGGAGCAATACTGCCCCCTTTGCATTTTATTTTTTATATTCGTTCCGTACCCACTATTTATAACTTCTGTTCATGAAATACAAACACGTATCAGAAATTACCGACGCCACGTAAGCATTGAATTACACCAGTACTAACATGACAGTACCCCACGTAATCAAGAAGCGAAGAAAAGGCAACAGGAATAACAGTTCGTTTATTGAAAGAAATCAGATGGATTAAATAATATGTACAAAACAAGTTCACTGGTCATCCATGTTTCTGTCAATCGCGTGCTAGTATTTCTGGCGTCGTACAGCTTCTGTCTGGACCGCATGACGTCTGATTGGCTGGCACAATCGACCTATGGTTTTTACTAAAGAGGCCGCAAGGTGTAGGCGCTTTTATGATGTCGTCTGGTACCCTTGATTCATCAAAATTGTCCAAAAACTGTAACGTGTCACTCCGTGGTTTGCGTCATCTAGTAGGCTAGAATAATCACAATAAGGCACATGGTATTCGTGTTACCATTTACCTATTGCCACCTCTAAAGGTAGAGATGTCGTCTTTTAACTCATCAACAGAGCACGCAAACTTTCGTTTGAATGAATTTTTCGTACTGCATTTTAGCAATCAGACTTTTCCGTCGTACATTTTGTACGCGACCTCAGTGTTACCATCTGTCAAAATCTCCCGTGGACGTCACATTTCAACTTCAATTTTAATTTGACCATTGTGTATTTCTTTATTTCCTAATTAACGATCTTTAAAAAGTTTATTGGTGTTTTTGCGCTTACTTTTGTTTCTGCTCTCCAGTTTTACTCGAGGGTCTTATAGTTACATGCTATGCAATTCTATGTTTACATGTTAGAACTATTTCATACACACGGGGTATGTACACTTGTTCAAGTTTATCACTGAGAGACGTTTTACCTCTTGCGAAAATTTCCGCATCGTTATTCTACCAGGTATCATCACTTAGGTAACCAAATGTCATTAAAAAATCACTTTTGTATACTTGAACCGCTGCATACTGATTGTCTGATATTTCATCTTTGAATCTATTTCGTTTGTTCTCCGAGCTTCTGGCACCGAATGCATCCACGAGAGACAACATTTTACAAATCCCCGGCGTGAATGGCATCCGTTTTTGTCTTATCATGTTACTCTCCTCTATGCAACTTAATATAGGTTGCATGACTTATTTCTGTATGGCTGTATGCGACGCTGAATGACCTAAAGGGCACCGAGCTGACAATCCGTCCAAAGGAATGAATCAGGTAATTTACAATTTGACCTAGCTTCACTTGGGTCCCACTTATTTGACCTCCTGCAACCTGTGTTCCGGATAAGTCGAACTGGGCTTCGGGAATTTCTTAGCGGTTTACCTAAAACGGACACTAAAAATGGAATGCTCTTCTAAAGTTCGTCGCTTTGGGGATTGGATTGAATTCGATTAGATTCATTGCGTTTGTTTACTTTTGCTGACCTAACTGTTTTACATGAAACAAAAATAATTAAAAAAAACTTGCATGAAAACACAGAGCATTTTTAGTGTGAGAAGGTGCATTCGGAGAAAAAAATTTATCAGACGGGAACAATCTGGAATGTGGCAGAATGAATGAGATCAAAGATGTGCATACATATGGTTGGTCAAAATCGATAACAGTTTTTGTGTGCTACTCATAAGTAGCCATGATTGAGACCAAAAATAGAATTTTCCAGGAGGAGTGGATTGACTCCAATCAATTATCTCATTCTCGGATTTTTCTTGCACGCGAATAGAAAGAGGATCGGAATAGAGAACTGAATGCGTATTTCTGATTTATTACAATAATGAGAAGGAATGTATTCGGTTGTTTTCACCTACAAGTAAAATCGGATTACATTGATTGCGTGAGTGAATTTATTTTATTCGATTGGCAGAGTACTAGAGTAGGCTGCAAATCCTGGTAAATGCTATAAGTCTGCCCCGTTCTTGTTAGCAATCATCCGGGCAGCGCATCTTCTGAGTTCATCGCCTATCCAGCAAAGATCTCAAGTGATTTGAATGCGGGAATGGACACTAAGATACGCGAAGGAAATGGCTGCATTGAAGAGACAATGTTTCAATGAATATGTTGGTACATGCACCACGTGGTGAATCGATATGGATTATGCTATATCATGCATTAGAAAATTGAAAGACGGTCTGGTCCGGTGGTTGACTGGGTGGTATGCTTGCATTCTACCTGTGAGGTCCCGAACTTGATTCCCAGTATGGTTGATGGATTTGCACTGTTGATGGGAACCAACCAAGTCGAAACAGTTGTCAAGTACTTCCCAACTTTTGTTCACTCTTCTTATGCATAATGAACTTCACTAAATAAAAATAAATTGAAGGTTTATTTATAGAAATTGATCGCGTGTTTCACAGGCAACAAATGCAGCCCTGTTGGCTGAGTCCGCATTAATCTGACCACTTTTACTCACATCCCGGTGGTTTTCCAGTCTTCTCATTTTCGATTGCCTACTAATCCCTGTTCTTTTACGCGGCTGTTAAACCGAATTCTACGTCTCATGAATACATATACAAGCCACCGTTCCCCCTGAATTATCCGTGGGCATTGAGGAATACATGTTCAACCCGCGACGGTCAATTTCAATCAAGATGAAAGTGCTACTCCTGAATCTGATATTTATTGGAACTCAACTGGGAAAAACAGTCATTGAGGCATTTAAGTTCTATGCTGCCCGATTGAGATTCTACTGCAATTTACATGAGGGTAATCAGCAACTTTCTATGTTTTGGCACCCGAATCGAAACTACTGTCGTTTAAATCTGCTGAATAGGGTTAATCATGTCTCCCCGGTGGAAATTTTAAAGCACCTTAAATCTAACAACACATGAGACCCTGAAACACTATTTCTTGACCTGCTGGAACTGTGTCGAAGAGCTCGCCTTATCTCCTGATGACATGTTCACTTGGTTTGTGTCCTCCAGATGCATCATTAATTGATGGGAGTCTGCGTGAATCACACCACCCACAAGGAAGTATCTTCCAAGCACCGAAATAGCATATATATATATATATATGTATATATATATATGCTTATCGCCTACTGCCAACACGACAGAAAGCCTGAAGACAGAAAGCCCAAGGGACAGAAGTGGCGCAATATTACCTTGGCAACGGAGATTGATTTTAGACTGTCAACTTGAGCGGAGGTCAGCTATTTCATCTTGAGGAGAGTGAAATGTTCTTCCACTCTCTGCATTATTGTTTCTTAATTGCACAACCCCTGTGTGACGGACTACAGCTGGGGTATTACCCATGATCAGCAAAATTTGTTCCGAATTTGAACAGAACGCAGAAAAATAGGAGTAGAGTGAAGGCGGTGGTGACCCGGCGGTAACGTCACCAGATTATCACCATAGAGGACCTGTATGATTATCTTGCCCTCATCGAATGGCTTACCCCATTTGTGTGTTGCATTGCAGCCCTTTGATTGGCCTCTTCCCTAGAAAAATGTATCACTGAATATTCAATAAAACGGAAGTAAAATTGTAATGATGAAATGGTAACAATTATGGTTGAACCACCCGGGGGTTGCCGGTTCACCGGGATTATTAAAGTGTGACAGGACAAGTGTTGATAGACACAGCTGATTCCTAATAAGTTTCGCAAATAGCAGCATCGATTCCATTGCATCCCTCAGGATCTACATCATCATGAGGCACTCTGCCCGTACCACCTGATTTGGCAGATGCATTCAATCTACTAAACGTCATATAAAGGACCACGCTTCGTCGCTGCACAACCAGTATCGGATGGCTGGTGCTACTGCTTTAAAAAATTTGAAGACGGCAAATACGGTGGACTAATCATACTATGCCGTCGTGAAATAGATAACACAACGCTGTTCCTTTCCACACTACTCCAGTAAGCGAGAGCCCTACCTGTAACTCATTTCACAAAAAATTGCATTTCATTTTATGGGCATGTTTTTAAGTTATTAAATCAAAAACTTGAGTATCATGAAAGGGTTATTCTTTACATTTTTAGAATCATATTACTACTCAGTGTAAAACTTGTAATCTTTTAATAAACTGATTGAATAAGGGCGGGATTTTTATTAGTTTCATGGGTTTTCATTTCATTGGGAAATCGGAACGTTGATAAAGGACTAAATGTCCATTCATGTCCGCGGTTGTTTGTTCTCCGTTTGAATCTTGTTCGATCAACTCAAGGAATGGGATCACAACGCCAATCGAAGAGAGAGAAAGAGATTCACAATCTTCAGAATCCAAAATAGTCGATACTGAGAACCGCGTGAAGCTACAAATAAAAATAAAAACAGTAAAGATTTCCACATTTAATTCACACGTAACTGTGACACAGTGGTGTGATTGAACCTCAGTTCGTTCGTCCACGCGGGAACTGAACTGAACTGACCTGGAGTTTCACTCAGATTTTACGATAGGCTTTCAGTTTGAGTCGAAAGAGAGTATACTTCCACTACCGGGTCACATGAATTCACAGCGAAGACGACACGTGAGCAAAATTTAATCGTCGATTCGGGTCGGCTATGGTGTAAAGTGATGAACGCAATGATGAATGGCACACGCGTTCCATACCATGAGGATGAAACTCTGAATGTGTTGCTGAATGTAGTATACTAATTTAAAGTTCTAATAGAAGTGAAACTCCAGTTGAGTGGTGATTTCTGAGTGTCTGATAGACCCAATGAACTAAGGATTGCAAGCGAAATCAACTTCAAAGTCTAAGTGAGCACAAATACCAATGATTTTAATTCTGTCTGGTAGTTGGGATGACGAGGCACTTTGACGGATCTTTAAGCAATCCACGTGTTTATAATCAACGTTCACTTATTTGCCGTTCGGATTGCATAGCTTGGTGCTCAGTTTTTTCATTGAGCTTCTCAATTTGATCGTTAACATTTAATCATTCAAGGTGCTCATGAACCTCCGATTGCAACAGGAACTTCTCACGAATTCAAGTAGTTCATCTTGAATGTCCTTGTCCTAGGCGTTTTTCAAAACCCGTTGATGTTTAACACAAAATGATTCAAACACAGTTTTAAAGAATGAACTTACCTGATAGGAAATGTTCTATTGGTTTACTGAATTACAATCGCAGTACGTACACTGATAATCTGTTGAACGAGTGAATCAGCGGGCTTAAATATCATGCGACGGCTTTGCCACCCATGAAACGATTCCATATCTCCCATCCCTTGGGTGACTAAATTTGTCCATAGCTTCAAAGTTGGTCAGTAGTGTATACAAAAAGGAGTCCTGTGCAGCACACCATATTTTGTACTATTCTTTCCGGTCAATAAACAAGAGACAAAAATAAGGTGAAAATAGTCAGATTCCATACAGCTGCATTGGATTTACTCACCTTCTATGGATTTTACTTCACCGTAATACTGGAGTCTCTCCCAAATCGGAGTTGCGCACAGTTTTGATTTGAGCTCGTCCAAAAAATTCTCTGTGTCCGGTACAATCCCGTTAGAGATGAGATGCGTTTTGTTGTAAACTAGTGTGGCCTGCGCTAGTACCGAACCACTTGCGGCCCAATCCACACTGCACCGTTTCTGAGCCGTGCGGAGAATCGTGTCGTTGTACACGGACCATTCGGTCTGCAGAAGTATGTGAATGTGAATAAACATTTTCCGATGAACATGTGCTCAAGGTCATTCGATGGAAAAAACCGACTGCTTTCAATTGCCCCTTCCCCCCCCCCCACCCCCGGATGTAACACGCTTGTCCAGCCTAACTGAATAGGTTTTTTCGTAAACAAAGAAATGAATTCTTAACACTCCTTGGGAGCGTTATTTCTTTGGTTGTTGATCGAGTAACTTTTGGATAAGAATGAACGAACTTGACTGGCCTTTGTCGATTGGGTAAGAAAACGAGTCATGACAAGATGGATTGATTAACCGATAACCACGCTCAGACACGTTGAATATCACTTCTTGTTTTAGACGCACTGAAATGGAGTACGATTTCGTGCATTGAAAGACACAGTAGTAAAGTTCTAAACACTAGAAAAACCAAATGGTCATTTAGACCATTTTAGTTCTTCAACGTTGTGTAGCCTTTACAGGTGGATCCATAATGTACCATTTCTGGTGACTTTTCCCTGGTCAAATTGAGCTCACAGTAACGTGTGAGTAGTGGCATGGGATAATTGATATTGATTTCAACTGGCCATCCTTCAGACCTCATCTTCACGCACAATCCTTAGTTCTTCAAGTTAACCGTATTCCCGGAAGCTTTATAGGCTCGCGTTTCGTTCTTATTAGAGCTCAACAACAGTTGTGTGAAACATCGGCTGGGAGCTTTGTAACAAAGTAAACCGGATCGATGGAATGAACTTTAATTCCGTTTCAATGTTCATACGTTTGTTTTGTTTACTTATAACGGAATTTGCAATACGTATCCTCTATGTATCGAAGAAATTGAAGTCTTTCATTTAGCCCTCAGCTTAAGTACGTTGATTCTGGTATTCACCTCGTTTTCAGTTTCAAGTGTCTAGTTATCCCGATACTGTTCACCTTTCTTCAGGAGATTTTTTCTAACCTAATCACCGCATAATAATTCCAGACATTTCTTTGCAATGCTACGCCCACCATAGAACGGGACATATGGAGTTCACATAACTTACAACTCTTGTAGCTATAATAATCACGACAATAATATTACCCCATTCGATTGAAACAAAAAGATCAGGATTCATTCTTCTTCAAAAAGACGGTCATCAATAGACACAGTGAGTAAACTCTTCGATCAAATCGCATTTATCCTCTGGTGGTTGCATTATCGGTTGATTCAATATGGGCGTGAACTCAGCATTCAGGAAAACGTTAATCAGAAAGTGCAGATACAACGAAAACCAAGCTTTTTTTGACCAGACTCAGAGTTATGAGAATGTCCACTTAGGCCTTCATGCTAAGATGCTCATCTTCGATCAAAGACATAACAGATGTTTCCAAAACGAACATTTAAAGGACCGAATCACACTTTGATTCGTTGTTTGTAACATGGAGAACCGTTCGGAGGCAGCCGTATTAATTTGATGTTGAAGAATACTGTGACCTTGTTATGGCAAGGGGCATTATCTACCAATAGTAAAATAGAGCGTTTTCGAAAAACCGTCTTGCGGTTGACATCAAACAGCCAACTGTGAACTACCGCAGAATTCATCCAAGCGTTCTTTGATGAATTATAACTGCAGGAGAGGCTTTTTTCATCTATGCCTTGGAGACATTGTGGAGTTTCAGATTTTCAGATAACTATTAGTGGTAACCTTTCCCCAATCATTCTCCCACAAAGCAGTAGCGCGACTCTTTCTTTTGATTTCTGGGACCCAGAAACTGTTTTTCATTTGGGACTCAATATGTTTTCTGGGATCTACCTTGTGTAAAAAGTGATTGCATCTGCACTGAAAATGTCGCAGTCAGGCTATCCATGATTCAACTACGGTAATCCGGCACGAAAACCACTCACTGCATCACATGATACCTCCAAACTTTCACCACATACCTATGAGGTAATGAACACGAGTAGCTGCTTGTCTCTTACTTTGTGGGGCTGAATACCACATCTGTCTGTCCAACAGCGAAACCAACCTTTTCAAGGCTTGAATCCACAATGATGTACTGTTTGTGTTAGCTGAACTGCCTTCTCACAAACGATTCTCTCTACCACGGGGAAATCACTGTGCTTTGCCCTCATAGCAATAAACTAAGCTAAGGGCACCTCGTTGGTTTCCAGGTGGCATCTTTCCTGAGGTGCTCCAGCGTTCATGTATTCTGCGACAGTCGTTCGATGGGATATAACATTGGGAACAGTTTTTCCTGAAACACCACACTTTGAATTCAAGTGACATTGTCTTTGATTGTTGGTATCGATGTCTTCCTCACAAGGTTTATCCAATCAGTGCACAGTGTTATGTTCGTGTCACACTAGGTGAAACGTCTTTGGCTGAATGTGACATTCTAGGTTGGTTGGTCGATGTCCATCCTGAAAAGCGACCAACCACTAGGTATCAGGAACTGCGACTTCTCCGGGGTGTGGCATAGCAGGAGATTGACTGTATTCAGCTTGAGCTGTTCACAGGATTCACGTTTCAGTGATCCTTATTCCGATTAAGAGTGATGGTGTGTGTGGGTGTGTCCGATACTAGCACAAAACCCTTTTGTCCTTACGATAGGAGAACAAAATTAAGACGAAACCCTTCGTTGTTTGGTTCTACAATAAAGTAAGCATGCACTCCACTTAATTGATGAGATGTTGAAAAAAATACACTACTCGATACGTATCACTACAATGAACCAAGGTAATCTCGGAGCAAACTTGCTTGATATTGCAGCCCCTTAACGCAGCGAAATGTTATGGACAGCTTTTGGGTGGTGGTGTTGAATATTACATTATTACATTATCGTTACATAATGATGTTTTCCCACGAGCTGATAGAAATGTCTATGTTTACTTCGATAGGTGAGGTCTTGCGATCATTGATTCACCAAACCAACTGGATGTGTGCAACAGGGAGAGTTGCACTAACAAATGAAGTATTTAGTGAAGGGAGTTTGTGATTATTTAAGTATTAACTAGGTGGCTTTGTGGTAGTATTCAGTTTGGTGTAAATGGGGCCAAACAGAAGCGAAGAAGCACACCGTAGTCACTCTGACCGCGCACATTATATGTTGCACGATAATGTAAAACTCACATGATGTGCGCATTTTAGTTTGAGGTATTAATTCCACCCTTATTACTCATGGAGCAGAAGGCTCAAGGGTGTAATGATTCTACTACGATATAGTTAACATAGGTGGAATAGTCATTTGAGACACGAGGCGGCATGAACTATTACTGTGGAGAGATATGATGGATTCATTGCAAAAGCAGTCAAAATAACTACATTCTGTAAAAGGGTATGAATATCTCGACATTATTATTGTTCATATTGGCATTTAGACAACAAAATACGCAAAAATATGTCTCCTGAACAGCAGGAGGAAACTCAAATCTGATTATTTGTGGATTATGGGGATTTGGATTCTTTTAAACGGTAAAAAATCAGGCTGACTATTGGATCCCCTCCAAGGACCGTGTACTACGCACGGATAATGATCATTCTGGTGATGAAATTGCGTGCCTATGAACCCGGGGGGGGGGGGGGGGGGGGNGGAACAAACAATGAGGTGCGTTCACTAAGACAGTGAAATGTGACAAGAGTGAAAGTGAATTCAACTTTTATTGGTGCTGTAGAGGAGTAGCTGTGATCATTGTGACCGTGTTGCCTTTCTTGGTTTGACGTTTGCAGGTTCGTTTGATGCAACACGATGGAGTTTCTACCCGTGTAATGTAATGGAGAACTTGGAGCACATCTGAACCTGGAAACGATATACTGGTTTTATTTAAGAGCCTGATGATGAATAATTAGTCTTTTCATCATTATTATTTCATCAAAGCAGCGGTCCAGGTACAAATTATGGACTAGAAAAACATATTTTATGCGTATAATGAATTTCTGAAAAGTGATTCAGTTGGAGACTTTATAGGATCACTTAAAACTTCTACTAAACGAAGTCGTTCATGTGCGAATACTGAACGTGATATCATCGGCGTTCTTAATAACTGAAGATTTGTATTAATCAAACTTGACGAAGAACATATAAGTGAACGAGCTGCAGACTGACACAATGGTTTT